GAAATCCGGAATCCAGTAGGCCATACTTGCTCCCCTTATAATTTAGGCGCCCCTGTGAGCACATAGTCGCCTTGACTCCGTGAACCCGTCTGCACCAACAGAAATATCAATCATTTTCAATAAATTATTTCCTAAGCAAAATCTAAGCACATCTGGTCTCTTTATTCCCGAAATTCTAATGTAAATATATCCCTACATTATGTTTCGTTTATAAGCAGGCTTTTGATACTACCAATAGATCATATATGTGAGATGTATTCATCCTATTTCGTTTAGGGAGATAAGGAGATTGGTAGTTAAAATGTCCAATAATGATATGAGTAGACCTTACGCCTCCATTGAATGTGGTAAGGAAAAATGCCTGGTTTTCAGTCCACTCTAGAATAGAATATCTCTTGGTTAAACAAGGCTATGCGAAATTCAATGGAAACGTCATGTCTGGTCATACGGTAGTGGGAAAGTTCAACTACCAATCCCTTTATCACCCTAAACTAAATAGGATGAAGACATTTCATATATTCCTGTATTAGTTTCCCCAGCGTGGCTAGCAAGCAACCAACAGCCCTCTGCTCTCAGTTTTCACTTGGTTCTGGTTGTTGAAAAATCTTCAGAATTTAGGCAACACCCCTCTACTCTTTGCAGCTTCCAGTATCACATTGTTGATCCATAGTATGCTCGCCAGCACATTCTACTATGCCTACCTTAAAGTAACTTCACCTTCTTCGAAAGCTTTACACGACAGATGTCTATAAAAAGGTCTCCATAGACATCTTAAGTTGACCCAAAAGAATTGTGTTGACTATTTGTCCAAGATGACGTTATTTCCTATCGCAGGTAACATGAACAAGAAGATTTGAAGAAGTGGAGCTTAGCGAAGGGAAACCCTGGTTGGACCGAACATCAACCCTGAACGACAGAACTCAGTCATCAATGGGAGCCTGAACTTCCTTGCACGGCACAACGCATCCATCTGCGAGATGGAATCGACTAGCCTCTGCTGCGCTCCTTAGGATGAATTCCAACTTGCTACCCTATCGCTAGTGCCATCCGAAGTGGAAGAATGAGTTGTGATATTGTGCTTGGGTCCTGTGGAAACTTAAGGCAAGAAAAGAATTAGAAACTCACCAGCCGGAGTTAAAATATCGTCCTATGCACAAGCGATGCTATCCTAGGCCTAGGAGGTGATGAAATGAATTGAGAAATGCAGGATCTTCTTACCATAACAGCCTACAGCTACAGCGCATAGTCCTGAGATCCTCGGCAGTCATTTGGTGCAGGAGACAACTGACGTTGTCATATTAAGGCAGGACGGATACAGAAGTCCGGCATAGCTTCGACCAAAACAGATACAAGACAGTTCACCGAGTTTGGTAGCCTTCGATGTCTAACCACCTTTTCTTACAATGAAAAAAATCCGAGAAGGACAATTTGGAGATTTTTATACTTTTTGGAGAAAGATACCTCTGGCCCATTGCAACAGAGGCAGAGTTGAGCCCGCGAATATTAATACAGACCAATTGGCAAGTTTAACGGCCAACCTCGGTACGCGAAGGAGGCATTCGTGGTAGGGTTCTCGCGGGAGTTGTGAAGCGACCTAATTCACTTGCATACATCCATTTAGAAGTCACATCAGCAGTTTCCGACTGACCCCGTCCTCGGGGGAACAGCTAATTCGCCCATAACAGACGGACACACCAACAGCGAGAGCGGAGAGCAACATCAGCAAATACCGAATCGTCCAGTTTAGGTTGGCGCGGCTGCCAAAACTGAACAGACTCGGCAAAACAGTCAGTTCGCATCAAGTGCGCAGCAAAACTTCGCCAACTCAGCCTGTCGTGTTCACGCCTCCTATTGGCTCCGTCGATGCTCCGTCTGGACTTGGGGCTGGAAATCACCGAGTCGGCTCAAAGTGCATTTGGGCGAGTAGTGAAAAATCGATCGGCAGACAAAAGGCAGTCTTCGACACACACAGACACACACACACTCACCGATCATGCAGTCGACTCAGGCCAACGATGAGTCCAGTTCTGTGTGCATTGCGCTTGCTGTCTTCCACCTGCCGCCTGCCACCTTCCGCAGCGCTGGACAGAAGGATGAGTCATCCGAGTGAAAATGCCGGACTGACGAGCTTCTCGAGACTGAGCCGAGTGGCTGTGATCGATCGGCTGAATTAAATGCCCAGCCGGCGTGATCGGTGGACAAAGAGATGCGTTGCGTGCTCGCCGGAACCGTCATAGTGGTTTGGGCAAGGCATGGGGTGACTAAACTTTTCCTTTTTGTTGAGAATTTCGTTTCGTATAAAACGGCATCGGTTCATCTCGCCGGAAGACGACGTCTAAATCGTGTTGTTCAACCCCGTTTCGGGTGAAACAGAGCTGAGCTTACGTCCATGTTGTGCTGAAGCGGCAAATGAACAAGTCATGCCAAGAGGACTATCCGGCTCTATCCTACACGCTATATATATTCATATATTCATACATAAATATATGTGATGAATGAATGATGAATGATCTATCCGTCCATATCAAGACACTTTTGTTTTTAGTTATGAGTATAGATAGAATCAGAGAGTATTCTTGACCTTGTGGTAGCGTGAAGCTTGCTCGTGATGATGTTCGTCAAATGAGGGAATAAAGCTCAGCCGGGCTCTGCCTGAAACGAGGATGGATGGCTGCGTCAACCAGAGCGTCGTAATCAAGCCACACGTAGCTGCAGCATAGCGGCCATCAGCCGTCATCTTCCGATGAGATCAACCAACGAAGCTGTTCATCAGACACCCCAACAAGGCGAACTCAGGAGATTCATCGGGGACCAGCTACTATTCGTATCGACGTTCATGTGCATGAGAAAGTTGGTTGAAAGAAGTTCTTTTGTCCCACCCTGATGGGCACCGTCAGAGCGGGAAAGCATGCTTGACGAAAAAGAGCATCAACGTACGAAACCCAAGCACACAATACAACTCGGTGGTCAATCTTTCGTTTTTTGATGTGGCCCATTCACGAATTCCCTCCGACCAACTATTCCTTGGCCATCATATACCGTTGGTTTGATATCTTTTTTAATCTCACTTTTCTTTTCAACGAGAACTTGGTCAACCTCGGCAGTTGAAGGTGAACTAAGGTCAGCTAGTGGTGTCTCTCAAAATGGCGTGATGACGACCACGCATTCCATTGTGGGACACTTCGACTATCAATTCTAATAACCTCTCGGGTTACACAAGTCCTTACTCGCATAAAGTATGAAGATGGTCCGAAGCTGGAAATTATCGTGGCCACTCTGGTAAAGGACTCTGGATAATGTGTCCTAATCAGGACGCCCTAAAAACACGAAGCAAAGCGACACGTCAATATCATCTTCCTCAGGGTTGAGGATTCACCGTCTGTGCTGGATTGATCAAACATGTGCACGATATCACGCAATTAGAGTTATGGTTACAATATAAAGAAGATTGGGTGGTGTCCGCCAAGCATAGATGACCGA